TTCTCTGAGATGCGCCGATCTAGAAAATCCTCCAACGACTCGGAGGTTTTGTGCGAAATCCTAGGCATCAGCCCAAGCCGCCCAAGTTGGGCAAGGACAAGACAAGTCGATCCGCGAAACGCAATCCGCGTTCTGCATGCCTGGAACGGCATCTGTAAATGCTGTACAAGAAAGGGTATGAGGCTCGGCAGGTACCGGCACAAGCAGAAGCGCTTAGTGTGGGCTTTCGGGTGATGACCGTGCTTTTGAACAGGTCAGGTCAGCCGCCATAATGTGCGGCAACATTAATTAAGTCAATACCAATGCCAGACATAATGAATTATTTGGGTGCCTATGTAGTTGAATAGTAGGCAAATTAAGCGCGAAATGTTCAGTAATTTCAGTCATCACCTAGCCAGGCAGAGTAGACTTAGCAAGTCTTCATCCGCTACGTGAGATGGTGTTTCTGGCGAGAGAACGACTTGATCCGCACTTCGACTGCCTTTACCATCGCTGTCGAGCCTCTCAGGTGCAGAGTCAGCCCCGTCGCTGCGCTATTGCTGCAGCTCAGAAAGCCGTGTCTGCAACCGAAGAGATATCAAAATCAAAACTTTGGAAGAAGCCATCCCGAAGCACCGTCGAAGCACTCGTCGCAAATACTGAAAGTTCACTGGTCGAGCTCTTTACTGTGGCATCATGCTTCAGGCATCTTCTGGCCACCGCCTCGGACTTTTGGAGCCAGGCGAGTTGAAAGCGTTTGCTTTTCAGCCTGTGCAGCCAGACCCCTACGGATAATTAACGTGCAGCATGCAAGCTCTGCCAGGAGTCCACAAAGGTTTCCGTGATCGTCCTCTTCATGAAAGTTGCTGGCGGAGCAAGCAATCTCTGCGAGTGAAGAGCATGCACCATGCAAAGGGCATCCTTTGGATGCAGGCCCGTGAAGTGGAGAGCTTTTCCGAAAGCATGGCGCAGCTCAATGCATGTCTGAGTAAGACTTTCGAATCGGGTGTGAGGTGGTTCTAAGACGTTACGAGATTTTCCACGTCAAAGGCCGTGCTCACAGCTACGATCACTCCTGCTGCTCAGAAATTGCACTCCGCCTGTCCGATTGGTTTGGCAACGTGGACAGTGCCAGATAGCGAGGACAGTAGGGACAGGGAAGTAGAGCATCCAACACCGCTGTTTTCCAGTATTAGCTACATTGCAGCTACATTCTTCGCAGCTATATTCTTCGCACACTGATGTTTAGCACTTGGTTCGTCTCTCTGGTGCTGTATCCTGTTTAAACAGCAGGCAGGAGTTACGCTTTTTTTCACATGCAATGCCCTGCCTCTCTTTACAGCTGGCTCGTGCAGGTCTCCTGGAGCAGGCAGAAGCCCGAACCTGTGCTGTGAATCGTGCTTTGCAAACGTTCAGGGAAGGGACAAGTTTGCGACACTTGCCCAACCACGAACCGTGCTCACGATGCCAGGGTAACTCGTGTCATGTTACTTGTAAGTTGTAAGTCCGAAGCTGTTGCAAGCAAGTTTGTCATCGAAGGACTCGATCTTGGGAATCCTTGAAAAGCCAGAGAGCAGGCACTGAACCACGGCATGCCGCATTGCTCCCGTCAAGAACCTGCTGAGCTGTCGGCGGCGGCGGGCTTTGAGCCTCACCTTCCGTGCTGGCCTCGGTCGAACTACTCCGGCACCATCCCTTCAGAACCTGGAGTTGACGCGGGACTTTCGGAGTGCTTGGTGCCTGACCGAATCCGTTTTGGTTGACGCCGTTGTGACTGAAGACTTGGAGGTCGTCAGGAGAGCTTGCCTCAGCAGAAATCAGAATTCACAGAAAGCCTTCGAACTTCGAGGTGTCAAAAGGCCAGCACATGGCGTTTACCGGCTTGCACGGTGTAGACAAGTCTCGGCAAGAAGCGCCTCAGTGCCCAGATGTGCCCAGGATGCCAAGGGCTCACCGACGGCCCACGCAGAGCTATGGGAGCTCTTTGGGCGTCACACTGGCCCCGAGGACATGAAGCAAAGCACCGCGCAGGGCGACCTCCAGCTTGCAGCGCTGCAATTTGCGGTAACAGCACATACCCTTGGGCCCTTGAGCCTCGTCGCAATCCCACCGTCGCAAGCGACTAACAAGCCGTGCATCAATGGCGGAAAGACCTTGAATGCACATGCCAAAGACCCTGTGAGAAACCAAACTGCAAAAAGATATCGACTCTGTAATTGGGCCAAGGCCGTAGAACGCCCCTGCCATCTGGCCGCAAATTGCACCTCTCCAGCACACGTTGGTTTTCGGACTTTTCAGTTTCAAATCCTTGCCGGGGGTTTGAACTACAATGTGTCAATTCAAAATTCAAAGTGCTTCTACTTACTAGCTAGCATCTCCTCTGCCCTGTCCCCGTCGCAGGCACGAATTGAAGCCTTGAAGCCCCCTTCACAATTTCGCTCCTTGCCTGTCGAGTCTGCGTCGCCCAAGAAATTCACACATCGTGTTAGCGCCTCCCGCAGGCAATGCACCGACTTGCAAGACTCCGGGTGTGCTGCAGCGAATTCGGCGATCGAGTCAATCGAACCGAATCGAAAAACTGCTCATGGCCGGCACGCGGCCTCCATAAAGGAGGCGGTGTGATAGAAACTGTGCATTGCAATGGCCAGGCCTGCAAAGCCAGCACAGATCTCAAACAGCAGCCAAGGAGCAATGACACGAGCAAAGTGCATTCTTCTCGAACGCCCGAGGAAAAATACCATGGAGGTGTCTTCTGAGTGCAAGCATATCATAAGCGCGCAGAGTGGCCATCCAAGCTGTAGGCACCGACGTAATTTGGGCTCACCTTAACAGCAGGAGTAAAGATACGGAAAGATCGACTCGTTCCATCGGAGCTGAGTCACTGGGTAACCGTTGTAGCTGGAGCCTCTCGCCTCGAGAGTCTCCTTCAGAAAAGGTCCCTCGGCATCCTCGGCGTCTGCAGACAGGACTTCAGAACGCTGCGTTTACGTCGTGTCTGGGCTCGTCGCCCGCCAGTTCCAGCATCGCTCTCGGCTGCCCTGCACCCAATGCCCCTTTTCGAAGGGGCAGGCAGCTTAGAATCAGACTGTCGAATAGAACAAGGGATAGCAAGGGGATATCACTGCTGCACTTCGAGCAACTCCGGAGTTCGCCTCCGGCTCTGCCGAGTGAAGCAGGCGGACCTGTCTCCAACACATGCCGATCTGCGGCCTACATCGTCACATCTTTTCGATTCCGCAGGACACCAGGCTTCAAACGAGCTTTCCGTGCGGTGCCGAAGGCCATTCCCGGCCCAAGTAGTCCTGGCACATGGCCAGGGACGAACAAAACCAAAAGCCGCAAATTAGGAATCGGAGGCTGCGGCTTAGCACTCGATCCGTTCATGCATGCCGAAGCACAATGTACCAGAACGGTTTTGTCGTGGCATAAATTATAAGTGATACCTCAATGTGCCAAAATGGTAGCTTCTTGGCCGCCATCCAAACGAGCACAGAAGCCCGCCTCAACTGTATCATCCAGGAACGCTGCTGCTGTCTCGGTGGCTGCACCTGTCACGCATTCTGAACTCCAGGTTGCCAAGGCAGTCCCGCGTCTACAAGCCGCATGCTTTGGGCGGCCGTCTTTGACCGTGAAGATCTGTGAAGCAAAAGAAGGAACCGAGCTCCCGGCGGTCTCTGTTGATGGCTCGCGCGAGAAAGAACCTCACCGACACGAAGCCGAGGGCGTGCTTGATGTGCAGTTGCTGCTGTTGCCGTGGGCAAACAACTGTTGCTAAGGGGCCCCAGGAAGTGGCAAGCAGCCGCAGCTATTGCCCCAGGGTGCGTTGTTCGAGAGGACTCTTCACCTCAAGAGGCCGACTGACCCAGGCAGCCAGGGACATGCGCAGCTCACGCTGCGTGAGGTTGGCACTCATCTCTGCAGCCTGATATCAGCCACAGAAATCCCAAGCTTCAGAAGCATCGTGTAAGCTACCTGCTTCGCTCCTGCCTTCTCAGGGTCGGCACTGAAAAAGATTGGCACTGGCGCGAGGCCTCGTTCCGTCCATGAGATACTGCAAGGCTTTTTACGATGGTGGATGTGGGTATCTTACGCAGATGCATTCCAGACTCTGTGAATGCCCAAACTCTGTCACAGCCAGCACAATCTCCTGATTCTATTACTGGCACTAATACTAGTGTAATAGTGCTAGTGCTGGTGTTGGTGCTAGTGCTAGTGCTAGTAGTAGTAATAGTAGGAGTAGCAGTAGCAGTAGCAGTAGCAGTCGCAGTGTTCAGCGGTAGCATTAGCAGTAGTAGTGGTAGTTGTAGTAGTAGTAGTAGTAGTAGTAGTAGTAGTAGGAGTAGGAGTAGGAGTAGGAGTAGCAGTAGCAGTAGCAGTAGTAGCAGTAGTATCAGTAGTAGTAGTAGTAGTAGTAGTAGTAGCAGTAGTAGTAGCAGTAGTCGTAGTCGTAGTCGTAGTCGTAGTCGTTAGTAGTAGTAGTAGTAGTAGTAGTAGTAGTGGTAGTAGTAGTAGCGGTACGAGTAGGAGTAGGAGTAGGCGTCGTAGTAGTAGTCGTCGTACTAGTCGTAATAGTAGTAGTAGTAGTAGTAGTAGTAGTAGTAGCAGTAGTGGAGGTAATAGTAGTAGTAGTAGTAGTAGTAGTAGTGGAGGTAGTAGTAGTAGTAACAGCCTTAGCAGTAGCAGTAGCAGCCACTAAAACGCATTACCACTTTACTCTACATCGTTGTCACTGCATTGTTGCTGCTAGTATTGCGTCGCCTGGCCTTGCTCCTGTTACAGTTGCACCTAGTATTTCTTCACTTCGACTCGAACGAGCTTCATGGTGTTCGGCTATTCCTATTCTTCTCGGCACCATTCCTCGTACGATGTTCTGTCTAAATTCGCATCTTGTTGTATCGGACTTCACGGCCACGTTTTCTGATAAAGGGCATGTGTTCGCTCTTTGTCTTGTGTGAAGGCGCCGATGCCACAAAGATCGTAGCGTGAGCACTGCAGCCCTCCAAGATTGAGGGTTTAGGGTTTAGCCTCGTGAGCCCTCAAGATCATCTCGCCGCCGCAGCGTGGCCACTGAAGTTCAGATTTCTACCCGGGTCTCGGGACATAGAATGCTGCAGTCTAAACGGCCAGTCATATGGTCCATCGCATCTCTCACCTGGTAAGGGGCTTCTTATTGTAACTGGCTGTCGTTTGTCCGTGTCATAATTAAGGCTCCTACGACTCATTGTCTTTAACTCCCCAGCCATCCAGGTGTCTGAGTTCGACGCTGGCGCCGCATCAAGCGAGCACCTCCGCTCGTGTCGTCTCCGGACGATGCCGAAGCCATCGACGCCGAGCAGCGTCACGAGTCTGCCGCAGCGCTCACCTTCCGCATCTCAGCTTCGGCTACGAGCCAGCTGATGTCCTCCGAGGCCCTGACATCTCTGCCCCCTGCAGCTACGGTTCCGCCTGGGAGGCCATGTGGTGCGATTAGTCCGGTCAAGAGCTCGATGTGAGTGCCAGGCTGCACAGGGGGCATCACATGCGCGGCACTGCGGCATGAATCAGTGCTGCTTGGGCTCAGCAACGAAGAGACAAGATCCAAGGTCTTTACCACAAAGCTTGCAGGTCAGAGAAGCTGCAAACAGTGGTGAGTCCACGCTTTTGACTGCACAGTTCAACTCAATTCGACATCCTACTCGCTGCTGGATCGGCTCCATGTGGCCATATTCAGCTGAGTGGATAAACCCCGAATCCTATACTCAGTAACGATGACTGGGTGATACTAATATACTTGAATAAGATCGCCGTCATCAGGAGTGACATACTTTCAACTGGAGATAGCTGGAGGGAGGGGTGCCGGGCTGTAGTTTACCTGGATGACTTGTACGAACCTACTGCACTACGCACTCATGGCTCATGCCGCAGTGAAACAGCTTTTCCCTTTGAGGGAAGGTACATTTGCAAACCAATCAGGCGAGGTCGGCGCCTGGACGGGCATCGTTGTTAATGCTACTATCCATCTGGCTATTTGCTAATGTCAAGAAGTCCGTGCACACAGGCATGCCGATGTACGTATGTGTATATATATATATATACATACACACATACAACTATATGTATTTTTACACACTTTTGTATACTTCTATACACATATGTACGTACGTACGGATGTATGCATGTAGGCCTGTATGCATGCATGCATGTACACATGTTCGTGTGTATGCGTGTTCGCATGTATCATGTATGTGCTCTTCTTCAGGACTTAATGGCTTCCAGATTCGGAAAGACTGATGCATGTGTACCCTGATACGTGACTCCAGCCCTGCACTACCAACGTTCTGTGTTGAGTCTTTGTACTGTACATCTTTGTTCTCTGAACCCTAAACCCCAAACCCTAAACCCCAAACCCCAAACCCTAAACCCTAACACCCCAAACCCTAACACCCTAACACCCTAAACCAAGGAACATCCCGGGCCTCCGGCCTAGCGGTCGGCCTTCTCCATGAGGAGCTCTACGGCCTTGTTCATGTTGCCATCGCAGTTGTGCAGGGCCTCAGAGGCGGCTTCGGCGGTTTAGGGTTTAGGGTTAGGGTTTAGGGTTTAGGGTTTAGGGTTTAGGGTTTAGGGTTTCGGCGTCCTGGGTTTAGGGTTGAGGGGACTAGGGATTTAAAGGGTTCCGGTTGAGGAGTAAACGAGTTCATGGGATTAGCGACTCGCTGGCTTCACCTCTCTCTCGTTTCGACTTTCCTTCCCGGGTTCTCAAAAGGGTCACCTTTTCTCCATGAGGCCGATGAAATCTCTAGCTGGAGAGACTGTTGTAGCGAAGCCCCATGCTACTAGCTCTAGTACGGCCTTACTAAATTGGCTCTACTACTATGTTATAGTTATGAAGCTACATGTTTGACTACAGCAGCATGGCCTACTGCAATATGACATAGTATAGTAGCATGGGTTTGGCATGTCCTGCAACCCGACAAGAAGGAAGCACGAAGCCCAACAGGCATTGTAACAAAACCGGAAACTCTGAATCACTCAAGACCGAAACCGCCTCAGACCCTAGAAACGCTAAACCTTGGAACACAAAAACCTCAGAAGCCCAGCTGACGAAAACAGTGATCATCCATTAAAATAACAATGATGATAAGATTGGTAAGAAGGGCAGAATGAAATAACACTGATTACCATCATTACCAAGTGGGTAGTTGTCAAAATTATGGTCCCTTTTGAGGTACCCTAAATTATAGGTGCCGTATTATAATAAGGACCCCAAAAGGGACCATAATTTTGACAACCACCCAAGTACCCTCAAAAGCCCCCTAAACCCTAAACCCTAAACCCTAAACCCTAAACCCTAAACCCTAAACCCTAAACCCTACCTGCTGAGGGAACTGCCTGGATGCACGCTTCCTGGTCTGTGAAGCCCATGTTCCGCATCGCCTGCTGAGCAACAGGGTGCTGGAAGGGCAGGGTTTAGGGTTTAGGGTTTAGGGGTTTAGGGTTTAGGGTTTAGGGTTTAGGATGTTTAGGGATGTTTAGGGATGT